ACACCCTTGCCCGTCATTTCCGACAGGTGTTGAAGAAGAGAGAGAAACAGACCACCTTGGACATGCTTTTCAAGAAGCCAGCTGCCAAAAGACAAAGGATGGAACAAGAGGAGTTGACCCTGCAAGCTCCAGTAGCCTCTCCTGAATCTCACTCCGATTAAAAAACAATAAAAAGAGACCTGCTGCAATGTGTAAAAAGTCTGTATCTGTATGAATGTGTGAATAAAGTGTTCCTCCACCTCCTCCTCACAACATCTGACTACCGGCATAATTGGTGACTGCTCCATTTTCATTTTTTTTATGGTACAGTATGGTTATTTTATGCTGCAGAACAAATTATATGTTTTAACATGTATTTCTATGGGAAAATGCGTTTCATATAACAGACTTTTCACTTAACGGACGTGCACCTGGAATGGATTAAGTATGTTATACGAGGCACCACTATAGTTTATACTATATATATTAAATATACTTAAACTATTAACAAATAATTTTTAGTTAAAGGTTATAGGACTATTCTGAAAATGCATTTCTGTATATGAAAAAAGTTGACTACAAAATTTTTTGCCAGTTCTTTATGTCTAAATATTAAGAAAATTTTTTTGATTATGCTCTTATTAATATACTCTATACTAGTTTCTCTCAAACCAGGTTCTGGAGAATCTACAGATTCTTTGAAGGGATATGAGAGATTCTGTACGAGAAAAAACTTATTGGAAATTCTAAATTTGTATGCAAGTCATTTGACATTGATCATTTGGCCACTGATAATATGTAGACAATCCATCAGTGCTTCACTCTAGAAGCTTTTAAAAAAATGCTGTTTTCATTCTATTTTTATTAAGATAACAGAAACTGTAGCTTAGTTTGGTGGGGATGAGATATAGACAATAGTGTTTCCTGAGTAGATTCCATAAGATTTTTAGGGTTCCATGTGTTAAAACAGATTGGGAAACACTGCTTTAATATAAGGATTCCCAAATGCAGCCATTATGGCTATATGTAGCCACCAAAACAATTTTGGGAGTTTCCAATTGCAATTCATAAGCTGAATAATAAAATTCTAAAAATGGAATGTATATGCTATTGCAAGATATCATTATTACATTTTCACACAGGTGCAATCATAGAAAAATGTTTCCTGAGAACTTCTGCTCAAAAAAACATTCTATACAAGAAAAGAAAAATTAATACTGATTGCAAAATATAAATTAGGTAATTTTTAATATTACATAGAAAATTATGTTTAATATATAAATCACACTTTTCTCTAAAGTCTTATATGTTTTATTCTTAAATATTAATTATTGTTTTAGTATTTTTGTCAGTCTAGTCCATTCACTCTATTTTTTTCCCCACCTTTAATATCATGACAATCATTATATTATTAATTTGGAAATCAATATTAGATTACCTAGTTAAATGTTACAACCATGTTTCTAAAACAAAATTAAACTAACTAAACTCTAATGCAGTTCTTAATTATAGTAAAGCTAACTAGAAACATCATAAGAACACATAACTGTCATTATTCATTAACTGCAGTCGAAAACTTTAGTGTGTATTTAAATCTTATTATAAAATAAAATGAAGTACTAAAATATCATTAAATTTATAGAATAAATTGAAATATTTAAGAAATACCACATTGATTTTTTATATAAGCAAAATTAATGACTTAATACTGAATTTAGTACAATTAACTCAATATTTATTACTAAGTTAGTAATAATTATTAATTTTTGACTAATTTAATATTTTTCTTAAGTAATATAATCTAAATGAGAGATTTATTACATTACCTAAATGATGTACATGCCATGATGGATCAAGTGGAGTTGTTTTATTATATAAAGTAACTAACATTGGTGGCAAAGGACCTGGTTCATTAAATATTTTCTCTCTACAAAGCAAAAATTATTTAATAATAATAAAATATATTTTAAAATATCAATTTTAATTATATTAAAATTGATATTTTGATTGTTTATAGANAAACTGCGCAAAAATCATCGGTGCAGCAAGTGTTTCCGGGTCAATCTGCAGATAATTCGATTCTTCCTGTCTACCGGTACCACAAAGCTTCTTTCAATTTTTCATCTGAGTACCAGAGTGGCAATTTAGCATTTTTAAGGCCGATCGACTTTGAATTGGCTGGGCTTGGGATTAAAGCTTAGTTCGCAATGAGCTCGATTCGCTGGCGAAAGCGAAAAACAGAACAAGTAACACGTCAGATATGACATCGTTTCCGGCGAATTGCTTTGATGTTCGGAACTATAGAGCTTTGTCGCTAGCGAAAAAATTTCGCCATTAATCGTATTTCAGCTAGTTGTCACGCGGTTCTAACTTTTATACCAACCGACAGATGTTGAAGTTTGCTCTTGTTTTTGTTGGTAGGTTTGTCGAGAAAGCCATCAATCGGCATGAAATAACGAATTAAGAATCACGTGAATTTTTTATTTCTAATTGCAATGGAACAAAAGCTTTCTTTAATATATAAACCGTGTCTGTACTGTTAGCCATTCTCTCAAACAAAGCTGGACAGTATTTGAGAATGCCAAATTAATGTACAGTACTGTACAGTATAGATCATTTATGGCAATATATTTTTATTTTTACTTAAAAATTTATCAATTTGGAATTAAGCAGTGATATATAAAAACCATGATTTTCCGGAAACGTATCGTTTTTGAATTTATCACTATTCGCTTCCTGTCATAAGTATCACGTGTTTCTCGCATGTATTATTAATTTACTGTGCGATAGCATAACACGAGGATATTAGTCATCGTTTCTATTAATTGATACTTCATCACTTTTTCCATTAAAAATAAATATTCCTTGCTTTTTAAGCTCGGTATAAAGTATTATATCTGACTTGTTGGAAATACATTTTATGCTCGCATTTGGAGTTCAGTTTTTTTGATGATTTTTCTTCTATATTTAGAATTTTCCTTGAGACAATGGATAATACTTCTGCTTTTTTTTTTATATTACATTAAACATCTCTTGCAAAACATTATATAGTTGCAATTTACTCTTCTTTTTTTCTGATTGGCTATGAGTTTGGCTTGCATCTTATTGGTTGAGGGAAATACAGCTATTGAAACTATTGACAAACTATTGTTAAGGTCTGTCAAAAATGCCTTATTTATACCTAATACAGGTCTGAGCTGTACTTGCTATTTTATTTAAAAATAATAATAATAAATAAACACTGTACTTCAAACAAACATATTACTGTTTACTACGTAGAAACTTGTATATCTCTCAACCTGTCTATTTTAAGTTTTTTTTTCTCGTTTCCATGAGATTCGAGATAGAAAGATCAAACTATACCCCCATTTTATATACATACAAATAAATAATACGTATGAAATAAATGTAAAAAGTTATCAATTTATTGATTTAAATACCAGCATGAGTGTAGATGCATGCTGGGATAATGTACTAAGGGGTATAAATACATCTTCAGGCGAGCTAGTTTGTTATCTAGGTCACGATGTTTGTGATGCTATTACTGGTTGTACTACTCTATCCACTGAGGAGGCCCTGTCAGGGCGAAATGCATTTGGAGGTAATATTAAATAAACTTTGTTCCTGTTAAAAGAAAGTTATAGTCTATAGTTTTTAATTGAGTATCGCAATAATTTTAGAACTTTCTGTTCAGAAATAAATATTTTTTTCTTACACATTAAGCGGGTGAATTCGAAATTTCACACCTTTTATGTGAATTGACGGTATTACGTCAATCCACATAAAAGATGTGAAATTTTCGAATTCACAGAAACTTGTAAATGAGGAGACACTACTTAAAACCAATAAACAACTTTTAATATTAAAAAGAAACATAAATGATAATTGATCTGTCCGCTTGTTTTGCTTAGTTAGATATTGATGAATTTATTGTTTCACTTGCAGTGGTAGTTTCAAGGCCAATGGTAGAAATAAAGTACTGTATTTTGTTACAAAAAGAAATTCAATGGAAATTGATATTTTAAAATTTATTGACTCAAGTGCTTTTAAAATTTGGGGAGTTTGGGGGAACACAATATATCCAAGTCTGTGATATAACGAGGCACTACTGTATTAGTACTGTAATTACTTATATAATTCTATTGATTTGAATAAAATTACTTACTTTCCATTTAAATCAATCCAATATTCTAACTGTTCTGTTATCTTTTGACTATTCCAAGTAGTCATATTCAATATATATACTCCAAGACTAAAAACACATGTATTAGGATGAATATTAAGTACTTTTAGATGACTGTTCTGAAGATTCAAATACTTAATATATTTATTCTAAAAATATAAAAAACAAGAAACATTAATAGAAATAGAAATTATTAATTATTATTCTTAAAACTAGCTTGATATTGTTTTTTTTTTAAATTTAACATAATCAAAAATGGAATTAACTAATTGGAACAGAAATCACTAACCAAATCTCTATAATTTTGTAAAAAAATGTTTATATTATTTGAATAAAATCTTGAAAATAGATATTATAACAAGTTATTATTTATTGTTACATTGTCACAATGCCAGGCTGAAGATTTTAATCATATTTTAAATTTATTTAATTTAAAATATATTCTCTCCACCTCAAATTAGTAATGGCTTGCCCTGCACATCATACTTTTCCTTTAACAATAGAGCTGTGCCAGTCATCTATCCTTTCAGGATTTCTGAACTGAAAGAACATGACTTCTCGTTTGCATCGGAAATTTCTATATAGTTAATTGAGACCTCCTGCCCTTAAGCTTTCCATATCTGGTCGCATCTTTCATCTATCTAACTCTGTTCTTGAGATTAAGGAAAGACAGATCGATGGATCACAGTGGGACTTTATAGGTCTACAATTTCTTCAAATTGAAGCCCAATTATAAAATCAATTATATAGAATAGAGATGGCTACCTGTACTTGGTCTCAACTTAACCTATCACTCCAGAGTCTATGAGTCCATTAACACAATCTCCATGAAAACCAGAAGAGTGATATAACAGTAACATCACCAACATCAAAGAGAAGGTGTTTATAGATTCCATTATGGTAGATTATATGTATATGTATCTTTGGAAGCATAACACTAGAGACAATATAGCCTCTGTGGTTTCACAGTCAACTGTGATTCAAAAATACGAAAAGAAAAATTCCAGAAATAAATGATTTGTAAGTTTTAAATTGTGCACAATTCTGAATTGCAAAATGAAATCTTGTAGTATCTTGCCCAGAATGTGAATCATCCATTTGCTCAGCATATCAATACTGATTATGATATCTGTCTATTAATCACTTGGTAGCCATCTTGATTATCAAGTTGACTGTCACAGTATTTCAGTGCTTGTGTTCAAGTAATCTTTATTTGTTATTAGAGAGGTTGTATCTACAAATAATAGAAAATACTGCACAGTATCTTTTTTGTATTCCCAGCTAATACTTCATTCCACCAAGAGGGTAAAAATTTCTGGGGAGAATACTGCAGTATATTGTTATAATTATTACATTTTATTATTAGTTATTGTTGTTAATCTCTTTGTGTGCCTAATTTATAAATTAACTTTATTGTAGGTATAAACATTATGTATAAAAAAACATAGTATATATAAGGTTTGATACTATAGACAGTTTCAGTATCAACTGGAGGTCTTGGAACATATCCCCTATAGATAATGATTTGATAATGATGTATTGAAAATGATCAATATGAATTAAAAAAAACAGTCTACAAATAAAATTTGTTTCTTCTTGTTTTTTAATTCACTGTACAATATAATGATCAGACTTCTTAACAAATGTACAGTGAAGGCCTTTGCACCTTGTTTTTAAAAAGTTTTTATGGGTTTTAAAGTTTTTATATTTTTACTTCCTTTATTGGTCAATTTTTTCTACGTTTTAACCAAAAACTTTTATTTTTACAGTTTTACTTGTTCTATCCCATGCTTTTAACAATTAGTTATTCCAGTAGTTACTATTAGTTATATTTTTAGTTTTACCATCATACATAATAAGGACTGAGGAGAGGCATAAGGCCCAAAATGAATATCCTTTGTAAAATATAGAAAATAAAAACTTTTCCCATCAAGAGGAGTGTTTCTTTGTTTATCACACAAGTCAATAGCAATTTTATGCTAGGTTCCAAGGAACATACTACAATTCATAGTATGTTTACTTTATTTGCAGTTTTGTGTGTGACAGAATAATTTTTCTTTTTTTTTATAATGATCAGTTTTAATAATACATCAGCTTTCCTCAATAGTTTTTCTCAAAAATCTAAAGATTTAATGATAATGAAATACATTATATAACTCCAAGAAAGCCATATCAAAGGTTCTTGCAAGCTGCATACAACTCACAAACCATATTATGGCCATTTGATATAAAATAAAGTAAATAAGTTTCTATAACTATTTCTAATATTTTAATTAAATACTCACACCAAGTGAATTGTACTGCTTAGAAATGACATCACATTCATATGAAAAAGCTCCTACATTATCTTCTAAGATTGTGGCATTTGCCAATTCAAAAATATCACCTAAATATAAATTTATTACTTAAATTAGAAAAGTAATAAAAATATTTTTAATTAAAATTATGCATATAGATTACATACATTATATACAACAATAAATTTTGAAATATGTTACACTTTTAAATATTAATAGTATAGAAGATAAAATTTTATTTAAAAAAAAATATGATGGTCAGATGATAAAGATATCTGCCTGCATTCCAAGTAGCCTAGATCCAAATTTCTATCAAATCCTCAAGAAATTTTCATGTAGAATCTAGCATGGATATGTCAGGTTCCAACTTCATCTCTCAGTTAAACCATTACAAGTCTGGATGAGTCTATAATATAGATATGTTAATACTTACCCTGCCAGAAATGTAATATTACGTTTTCCGCATTCCTTCGCAAAAAACAAAAAATGTAATATTATGTTTCTCAATATATCCTGTTATTTCTAGCTTTAAAACTTAACATTATGTTTTCAGCAATGAAAATACGATTTCTTTGTGTATTTTAGTGTCTGTTAATAAATAGTGGGCACTATTTATTCAGAAATTTGAAATATAAGTGATTTCGTACAACCACAATCATTGTCTTATTCAGAGTTTCGTCGCCATATTTTGCAAGCGAATATCAAGTTTTATTTTTTATATATGAGTTAAGTTTAGATATGGTGCATTAACATACTAACTAATAATTGTTCAAATTCATTAATAAAAAATCAACAAATATAGTGCCAATTATATTGATTCATCTGATTAAAATGTCGCAATTGATTTAGGCCTAAGTGAGATCGAAGAAATAGAAATAAGCCATGTAATTTCGTGTTATTATTTTAAACCTTTATAGTTTATATGATGTTACATAATTTATATACTTTTTAAATATTATCAATACAAAAGTCAAATTCTTATATTTCTGATAGTGCTAATGCCATCTTATATTCGGCAAATGTACATAAGTACTGTACAATTGCCAAACCAACTCAATTATGAAAAACAACCAGAAAAAAGTCTACTAATAATGTTGATACAGTACATCATTATTATGAATAAATTCATTGATGTACTATATATTTCATACATAAAAATACAAATTTTAAAGCTATATTGCAGTTTTTAATTTTTTTCATTGTAACTTTATCTCTAAAACAAGTCCAAATGACATTAAAGCACAATGCATAAAAATACATCAGAATTGAGTAATGTACAGATAAATGTTCCCAATATCAGAAACTGTTTTTACTTTTTACCTAGCTTTAGTCAATCGTTTTTTATTTTCAGTAGAAAATACTGTAAAATTGCTTAAATCAGTCAGCACACAGGTAAGGAACTAGGTCAACTGGACCAGCAGGGTATAAGTATTTTAAAACCTATGTTAAAAGATCTTGTAAGATCTTTTAACATAGGTTTTAAAGGAAAAATTTGTTGCATTACTTTCTGGCCTAGTCTTGTACATTTAATATTCATAAAATTTAATTTTTTAAAATTTCACATATAGCAATGTATAATAAATAAATCTAACCTTGTACAATGATATCATCATCAAGGAATATCCATCGGCCTTCCAGATCTGGACTGATTTTTGACACAAATATTTTTGCATAACTCAGCTGAATAAAAAAAAAGGATTTATTTTTAAATACTCAATGTAAAAATAACTTCATCAATAATTTATATGTATAAAATTCATAAAAACCATATCTTTTATTTGAACAAGATATGAGTTCAAACTTAAACATATCTTCATCCTTTGCATGCATATATAAAATATATGTTTATATTTATATTTATCACTCAACCCTTGTGTATTATATACAGTACATATATGCATACATGAGGGTTGATTGATAAATAAGGTCTCCTACTGCTTTAATTTAATTTAATTTTCTTTGTATGTTCTTCAGAACTTAGTATAAAGTTGCTATTGAGAACAAATCATACAGGAACACTCCTTTTGATGGAAAAAGTAGATTTATTTTCTATAATTTACAATGGATATGCATTTCAGGCTTTATGTCCTTCTTCAGTCTATTTTATTATGTATATCGGTAAAAATTAAAAATAATTATAGTGACAGCTGGAATAACTAATTATTAAAACCATGGGATAAAATAAGTAAAACTGTAGAAATAAAATATTTTGGTTGTAGAAAATAAATCTACTTTTTCCATCAAAAGGAGTGTTCCTGTATGATTTGTTCTCAAAAGCAACTTTATGCTAAGTTCCAAAGAACATACAACTAATTAAGAGAATAGCATGCAATCAAGTATTAATTTTCTTTACTTATGGAAATGAATAATTGCTTCTAATTTTAATATTTTATTAATTATTTTAAATTAATTAATTTAATTTAACTTTAAATAGAATGCATGTAAACAAAGAAAGTTAAGTTTATTTTTTGTACTTTATTCAAAGCTTTGTATTCATGTCTGTGTGCTAAAACAAACTTTTTTACTGCAGAGGCAACATTACTTCAGGAAGCTGTACTTTCATGCCTTTTTTTCTTCAAGTGTTTATAAGTAAAGCTGATTAAGATAAAAGTGATTTTTACTATTTGGAGGACAAGAAACAACTTTGTAATTGGAACTTTTGATTGGAATTTTTCCGACTTTTTCCTAGGATTCCTTGGGATGTAATTAGTGAGACCAAAATAAAAGTTAGTTTGTCAGTTTATACCATAATAACTGTTTATGTCAAAATTTGCATACAACATACAGTACTCAAATTGGATGCATAACTTTCTATGAACACTGTATAACAAGTTTTCAATCATTCTATATTAATTATAAAGCTGATATAAAACATAACCCAAAATTTTTATTTTTTATAAATAATAATAAATGTAACAGCTTATAAAATATTAAATATATAAATTGTTTTTAAACCATTTTCACTATTTAGTTTGAATATTACATTATATGTTTGTGTTTAAATATTTAAATTTAGTTAGATATTTTCCTCTCTCGTTTTTGTACATAATTTTAATAAAATTATAAATTTATCAATAACTGTGTGATGTACAACATTTTGATTTAAAATATGAAAATTATGATAAACTTGTTACTTGCAGTTAATATATACTTATATCTTGTGAAATCTTCCAATTGTCCGTTTTCAACCTGACGATGGCCTATGGAATAGGTCGAAAATGTTTGTTTTAAATAAACTTTCTCAGCAACGATAAAGGTGTTTGGTTATTGTTTAGTATTTTGCTGAGCACGTTCTATTTAATGTTAATATATACAATCAATTTTGTTTTTACATAATTTTGATTTAAAATGGTCTGGAAAAACTCAATTCTCTTTTTATATGTTTTGTTTTCATCTAATATATTTCAATAAATTTGCTTTTTTAAACACTTCCATTTAATTTTAATCCTAAGTAAAATATTCATACTTTCTTTTCTAAAAAATGAATTATAAAAAATATTCTTAGAATTTGCATTTAAAGCTGCTATATATGCTCAAATAAATATTAAGATTTGCTTGTTTTTTTTATAATTCATTTCAACATATGTAATGACATTCGGTTTTTCATTCCAAGTTTATCCCACAGTTGAAACAATCAAAAAATATTATTTGAAGTTTGACAATTTGTTTATATAATTGCATTTCTTCCAATTCTTTCACTATGGAATTATTTTTGTATGCCATTTGGTATTAAAAGCAATGCTTTCAGTTGCACTCATGCACAACTGCACATTGAATTCTATGAAGTTGCACAGGTGCTTTTACTTCTTGTGCACACAGCTGACAGCAGGATATCTATAAACAATCATAATAATCCAAATAGTTTGTATAGTATAGATGAATCTGGACAATTGGGAGATAGTATAAATGAATTCTAAGCAAAAATTCATGTGAACACATCAGATATTTTGTCTGAAAATTTTTGCACAGTTGCATTTCAGCATGCACAGCTATACAAAAAATTAGAGGGAACATTGGTTAAAACTTAGAGATATTTTGATGTTTAACTGAAAAGTTGAATAAAATTAAAATTAAATTTGTGCAATTAATATAAATCTATTAAATGCTGCTGGTAAGTTAATTAAAATGGTCCCTACTGTAATTTAATTAAATTGAAATATTTTGTTTAAACACATCCTATTAAATTAATTGGTTTATTGTGTTATTTTTACTGGATTTTAGGATCTGGAACCAATCTTCCATTTTTCATATAGACAGTATCCTTTTTTACAGGATATTTTACACAGATTTTTCAGCAATGTATCTGTCATGCAAAAACAAAATTGAATGTAATTTATATTTTAATTTGCAATGCTTCTTGTAACACAATTATAAACATAATTAAAAAGTTCTATCAATACATATAAATTAAACATTTTTTATTTTTAAAATATCAAAATAACTCACCAAAGGATTTCTATGATGCATATTTTCTAGATTCTGAACATGAGGTAAAAATAATTTATTTTGAAACACATTAATTTCATATGATATTGATTTTAGTTTACTATGTTCAATCCAAGACAATAAATGATAAGCACTGCTATTATCTGTCACAATATAAAAATGTGTTGGATGATTAGTATTTGAAATAATACTGTTGATGGCTGTGATTACACCACCCATACGTGAATTTTCTGTCACCATAAATACTTTTATCATATCCGCTGCAGTATATACATTTCCTAGAAAGAAAAAGTCTAAGTTTAAAACTTAAAATTTTAATTAACAAAATCATTGTACAAAAATTAAATAAATTTAAATAATTTTTGATAGTGAAAAAGTTATAATCAGATATATCTCAAAAACTGGGTTTGTAAAAATATACCACTCACAAAACTATCACCAGCACATGGCAAGAAAAAAAGAAAAATTTACTAACATTTTCATCTATATGAAATAGACATCCTCAGGTACAATATCAAACAATGGCTAGTAAAAATAGAATGTTTTTTAAAAGTTCAAACTGATTACTGCGTTAAAATTTACATTATGTTCGCGATATAATTTCCAAATATGTATATTATTTAAACAATAAATGAATAAATAATCAATTAACTTTACGTTAATTACTATGACATAAATATCCTCTGTAATTTAAATCATCATTAATGCAAGTTATCATCAGCAGAATCTAGTTCAAAAATGGCGCGCCATGCTGTGGATAGCGTGTCCGTTTTCTTGAAGTTAATAGCAACTCCTTGTTTAATTGCACGATAGATCTCAAGTGCCTCGAGGTATTTGAGTTGTGCTTTATCCAACACTATGTGTAACAATTTTGTGTTCTATAGTTCAACCCGGACCTGCATACGTCACTAACACTGTAGTTGTCAGCTTTTTTCTTATGGAATATTCATGTTTCTTCATCCTCATGGCAAGACCTCTTGCATGTTAAAATTTATGTTATGCTCAGGATATAATTTCCAAATATACATATTTGGAAATTATATCTTGAACATAACATAAACTAATGCAACATATTCTAATTATGTAACCAGTTTGAACTTTTAAAAAACATTCTATTTTTACTAGCCATTTGTTCAATATCATTTGTACCTGAGGATGTCTATTTCACATAGACGAAAACATTAGTAAATTTTTCTTTTTTCTTGTCATGTGCTGGTGATGGTTTTGTGAGTGGTATATTAATAATCAGATTCTCAACAAATTCAATCTATAAAGTTTATATGGTAAAATTTGGTTTTGTGAACAGAATATCCCTTGAAATTTTTTTCAGATGAATTGATTCTTTTGAAATTTTGTAACTTATAATCACCACATATGAAAAAAATTCATGTCATCAACTTTGACAAAAAATTAAAATTAAATAAATATAGGAATAAGACTATTTTTTAATGATTATCAAAATAATTTAGCACTATTTGGTAGGGACAGTGATATATATTAAAATAATTAAATAACTACAATGAAATTAAGTTCAGAAGATATTAAATAAAAAAAATCAAGAAAATCTGAATTCTCTTTTACTTAAACTTCAACTCTTTTCCAAATCCTTAACTAATTTTTTAATTAATTAGTAACCCAATAAAATTCAGTAAATTGTTAGCTTGATGAAGAATATATTATTAGACAGAGTGAGATAACCAAATAAATAAGGTATAACAATTTGCAGGGCTTTCAGTCGGCCTTGGTGTGATAAGCCCTGCAAATTGTTATACTCTATTTATTAGGTTGTCTAACTGTGTCTAATTTATAGTCATGGGCAAAAAGCGTTGTTTATTATTAAGAATATATTATATTGAACACCAAGCATTTTATATATACAGTTTTTTATTTACATGATATAGTCTCTTGAAGAATCTTAAAACAACAAATAATTATTTTAATGCTGAAAATTCATTTAATTTACATAAGAATATTTTAACTTTAATTTCATAAAAAAATTGCTATTAAGATGGTTCAATTTCTAACCAGAATTTTGCAAGTTACTGGAAAATAGCAAGAAATTTTAATTTTTTTCATTTCTTTCTGGGAGCCTAAATATCTCATCTTGGAATGGTAATCCTGATTGGATTATCATTCAAAGTACAGACAGTGTGAAATGTGGTAATAATGGGTTTTCCAAACACAATATATAATATGATATGTCATTAATTTCGTGTGAAAGAGGTATCAAGCTGCTGAAATCTTAAGATAACAGCACAGCTTGGTTACACTATCATCTTTAAGTTTCAAGTGTGCAAATGTGATATGAAGTCAGAGGCAAAAAGAGTTGTTGCTTCCAAATAACTAAAGGTGCAGAAGTTAACTGGAAGCAATGCTAACAATATCCTGGGATAAAGGTGTTTTTTTTTTTTTAAAGCCAATTTCTTGGAATATGAAATTATTATTAATGCCAAACTTCCTCAATGAAAGTAAACTTTTAAAACTGATATTACTTTCCTTTCTGATAATGTGGCCACATTATCAGAAAGGAATATGAGAAAGTTTCAACTACTATTAAAATTTACACTGTCTAGACCACCATGTTAAAAATCTATACAGCTTATCAATTGATTATCATTCATTTGGACTAATACAGTAGAGCCTCGAAAACTCGGCACTTGATAACCTGACACTCTGGATAACTCGGCCACACCCTGGCAGAGCAAAAAAATCCTTAGTTAATTAATTTTCATGATAAAGACAGCTTTATGCCTCATAAAGTATTTTTCTGAGGTCTGTCTTATCAGGTAAATTACTGTACAGTGTATTCATTAATTTTCATTTTCATGTAGTAAAGGCTCTTTGCCTTCATAAAAGACATACTTTTCTTTTGTTTAAGGATATTTGGGCAGTTTATTCTTTCTTGTATTTTCAAACAAACAATACATACAAATACAGTACAGTATTTTCTGAGGACTCCACACTCGTACTTATTTTTTTAACGCCATTTCCGATAACCCGGCATTATCACAAACTCGGCCATCCTTCGGTCCACATTAGGCCAAGTTTTCGAGGCTCTACTGTAATAAAATTTTTGGAAGGCTAAAAGTTTAAATCTGAAATGCAGCAGTGCATCAACCAGTAGTTTCAAGCGTGGGCAGTCTAAATAATTTTTCACTGCTGGAATGGAACTGCCTTATTGATAAAGCAAGTACCAAAGTATAGGGGACAGTACTTGTAAGATGATGTGCAAATAAAATTGGAAGCAGATAAGATATTTATTAACACTAAGATATGGTAAAATTCTAATTAGGAGTTGAACAACCTTCGTACTATTATATTGATAAATTTAAATTTGAATCATTAAATATTCATATTAACTAAAAATATTTATATTTAATTTTGTTTATTAAAAAATAAACTTACGATGAGATCCAGTTTGAAAATGAAAAGATGTCAAAGGAAGCCAAAATAAACTTAAACTGTAGTAAACAGCTAGAATACAGCATAGTGCTAAAAGAACTAATAAAGCTGAAATATAAATTTAAATATTTTATGTAAACAATTTAAAAAGTTTTATATAACATAATACAAAAATATAATATAATTATAATAAAATATTGTACAGTATATAGCAGGTGTGGCCAAACTTTTATCCCTTAGGGGCTACTTATTTGGTAAAATATAGTCTGCGGGTGACTATGAATATGGGCAAACAATTTTAGGATTTTTATATGTGCATGCGTTAACATTCATTTGCATTGTTCATCGGGATAAATACAAACAGTATGGGTACGTTGCACAGACAGTCTATTATTGTAAGAATAAATTATCGAATTAAGATTTTTAAACATTAATTTAAGTGAAATCAAATTGTTCAACTTTAGCTTCGTGGGCTACTTTCAAAACCTTTGCGATTGACTGGGGTCTATGTGTTGGCCATCCCTGGTATATAGCATACATTCAATTATCAGAAATATGCAAGAACTGCATTCTCTATTACAACAGTATTATATATGTAAAGTTTGAGTTTATAAAAAGAAATTGTATAAGTAGGCTGCAAGTGCCACAATAAGGGTCTAGAAAAGCATCAATTTAGCCACAGTTGATATACAGTTTATTTCATATACCAGTATTATATACTAATATAAACATTCAGACTCAATAGTTGTATATTAAAGCCAAATGACTGCTAAATTATATCAGCCCATATTACTACTACTATTATTAATTAAATGCTAAGTAATTTGGCACTAGATGCAGACATTAATTAAGTGACATCTCTTGCTAAATTTAATAATTATAATTAAATCCAATATTTTAATAATTAATTTAGTAGGTTCTGAAAGAAAAGAATCAGCCCAGATAGGGGCTTGAACCTGCAATTCCTGCTCACTATGCAGACATGTTGCCAGTTATGTTACCCAGATCTTTGTCCGATCCTCTCTTCCAGAACTTATTAATTTAGATATAACCATATCTGATTATTTATGGTGCTGACCACAAAAGACTCAGCACCTACAGTCTATAACTCCTATCATGACACTAAGCCAACTATTGCATCTACCTCAGCATGATATAATATATTAATATATATATATATAAATATAAATATATTAATATATAATATAATATACAATATATTAANCTGTAAAAATTTCTATATTTTTTAATCTATTACTTTGCTACTACATATAAAAAGTAATTCGCAAATTAAACCTTATTTTAAATGACTCCTATTTCTCGAATGACCTCTATCAGATGAAAAGAAAGTCGTTTATCATATTTTCTCGTTAATGATCTCGTTATAATACCTGTTCGATGGAAACATTATTCTTACTGTTCCAAAAAAAGAATAAATATTCGATCTGTAAGTTTCTTCTACTGCGAAAAGAAAAATTTATTTTACTCTAATAAATTCTAGATATTCATTCCCTAATATAGAAATAACAAAGAATAGATAAGATAATTTTTTTTAAATTATAGTACTTATTGATTGATTTAGTTTATAATGTAACTAAAAGTTTAAAAATTTAAGAACAATTTTAAATTCTTCAACTTTCTTTAATTAATTGTATAAATAAATTCATATATTTTAAAATAGTTATGAAGAATGGGTGTTCTATATAAAAGGTGCCTATTAAGAGGGCGACTAACAATAGAAGCATTTGGAGGATTCGTGACCGTACCAGACTAGTCCAAGGTTAATTAATAACAGTTTTCTGTTTTTACAGCAAATTAACATAGATTGCAATTGTTGCACATTACTTATAACTTAACTTATAACAAATATTATTTAAAGTAGTGGCTCGCAAACTGTGGGCCATCCCCAAAGAGAATGCGTTTTTGCTCTTTTTTTTGGCGTGGAAATGCTCATATATATATTATATCATATATTATATATATATACTAATCTAATATAAACATCCAAATTCAATATATTAAAGCCAAACAATTGCCAAATTATATCAGGCTACACTATTACTATTATTAATTAAATGCTAAATAACTGCCTGCCTCTAGCGCCAAATTATTTAGCATTTAATTAATAATAGTAGTAAACACCAACTGTACCAGAAAATTGGAACTGTACATGAAGATTACACCTTAATTCAATATTTCCAGAAAAGAAATTCAATCTCTTCTGTGAAACCTTCATTCCCACTACAGGACAATAGGTTTCACAGAACAGTAAAGTATATAGGATCCAAATACAGATCACTGCAAGCCAGGTTAAAAGATCAAATATGATGTACAAGAAGGAAACATTAATACAGCTCTGGCATGTTATGCCAGTGATTCAGGGATTTCCCTGTTGGGACCAAGCTACCCTAATACACAGGGTCTTCGACTGGCAAAACATTAGAATGTTGAAAGCTGTAGAGATCTACAGGGTGCACAGGAGTGGAGCCTGCATCAACACGGACGCCATTCATGTACCAAAGACATGGAAATACTATCTAGACTCATAAAGTATACATCATATAAGATATGTCACAGCCTGTATTTAAGCGTATTTAAAACTTTTAAACTTAGAACATGACAGCTTCCTACCCCTAAGCTTTCCATATTTGGTCTCAACTTTCTTCTAACTTTGTTCTTGAGATTAACAAAGGACAGACGGACAGACACCAATGGAAATTTATATGTTTGCAATTTGAAAACTGCAGCCCAATTATGGAACAGATCTATTATCAAGATTTCCCAATTTTGAGATTATGACTAGAATTACTAAAGATTTGTGCATCTAGTGATAAACTATAATTAATTAACAACTGTTATTTAAAAAGATAAAATAAAAAAAACATATTCAAATACTATTTAAGGCTAAAAAGTTGACTACATATTAAATTTTCACTATAATGGTTCAACAGAGTAGCCAGCAGTTAGTGTTTATTTGCACTGAATTAAATCTTATTTATCTATTTTTTTAAAACTCTTATGAATTTAGTAATGGAATGAATTATCTGTCAGATTCTATAATTGCCAACATAAAATGTTATTTTAGATAGAGTTAGATAGCCTAATAAATAGGATTTAACAATTTGGAGGCTTATCACACCAAGTCCAACAGAAAAAAGATCAGATCTTTTACAAAAACGTTAGCCTTTAATAATTACCTTCAAATTTAGGTAAGGATGCATTTCGGGTACAAGGACCCATCATCAGCCTACAAATACATAGTACCAACATATAATTATAACACTAATAGTTAACCAATACAAAGGAATTTTTGATATAACTTTTTTGTAAAAGATCTAGTCTTTTTTCTGTCGGCCTTGGTGTGATAAGCCCTCCAAACTGTTAAATCATATTTATTAGGCTATCTAACTCTATCTAAATTAAAGATGTGGGCTAAAAGCATCATTTATTATTAATAAAATGTTACGTTGGCAATGCATGTTAAAATTTAAAATTTTAACATGATTAAAGCCTAAAGTAGTAATGATTCTAGGATTGTCCACACATTATAGTAGTCAACGTCAGATCCGTCAACTCTAAAATCTCGAGACGGTCGATATCGTCCCTCAAAAAAGTCAACGTAGATATTAATTAAATGCAATTTAGTTGTTTGATTTGGACATTTTGCAATTAATCCCCCAATCGGGCAACTTAATCCCAGACGTTTTGTACTCCTACACATATGCACGAATCCCAACTTGGCTAACTTAATTAAAAATACCAGAATAAAGGATAGCAAAAGCAAAAGCAAAACTAAAATGAGAGAAAACAGCTGATAAATTATAGCACTACATTGACAAGCTGTCAGTGCAAAAAGCTGACAGTTTGCAACTTCCAATGCATTTCACATGTCTAATAAAGCAACTGCACATCACAATTTCTCTATTTTTAGCCAGATACCATCTACATAAACTGGAGAGTGGTTAAAAAACCATTGAATTGGCAGTATATATGTATTATATTTTAAATCAGTTGTTTGACAATAATATAAAGGGAGGGGGAATGGAGCATTGAACAATTACTAAAATTTTACACTAATATTACTGTTAAATCTCTAATGTATTTGTATTATTTCTGTGTTAACATCATAATTTTGCATTACTTAGTATTTTTTTTTTTATNATAGTACTGGAATTCACAGATGATAACAAGGTATTATTGTTTTATTTCAGTACTGTATATTTTGGTGCATAGTATACATAACAATACTTAACAGTAGTTGTGCTTTTATTTTCCCTCAATCTATCATGATATATACATGAGTATGGTTTTTGCAGATAGATTGCTGCTATCTATGGTAGACTTTGAAACATATCATCCACAGACATGGTGGTCCCACTGTGTAATCATATTTAAACAAAACTGTGAAGTGTGTAAATTAACAAACATAATTAAATGTAAATGTAAATGATAATTAAATTGGTATTATTTTTTTATAATCTATTAAAAGTATTTTTACTACTAATTTATGATTTGGAGAAATTGTTTATTTTTTAACCAAGAAAAAACTTTTGAATATTATTTCTACAATATAAAAATAAATTTTATTTTAATATTATTCGAGTATCTTCTATTCACTGAGAACATTTTTTAGCTTTTTTAAAAAATAATGGAAGTATTTGTTTTTTTTAAATCTCGTTCCACCCTGTGGGCACTAATAGTAAGACCATTATGGATTCGGCCAGAATCACAATGGGGCTGCCGGGTGGTGAGGGACGGGGCACGACGTATCATGCCCCCGAAAATTCCTGGGGGTTTATCGACCCGTTCGGATTCGAACCCGGGTCCCTCAGAGCGGTAGGCTGCAACCTTGACCGCTCGGCCTGAGCTATTCGTGTAAGCACCAAAATGGAAGGCAAACAATATTGAAATTGAATAATAATTCCGAATAATTTTATTTTTACAATATATTTTGTACTCTCGGAGTATTAGAACGTTACTTAATTAAGGATCATCATAATGATATAATTAAAGAGCGAAATAAAGATGGCATCCTTGATGGTTACAAGGTGTGACCGGATGAGCCAGCGGCTATAAAATAATAATATGTTTAATTTCGTATAGTTATTGTTACATATAAGTGTAAATAATAACTTTTCAAAACTATTAAAAACACCGGCTAGTTTTAGCCGTCGCTCAGTTAACTGTGTCCCATCTTAATGTAAGCTTGTATAATCTTCATTAATAAAGCAGTATGAATTTAATAATCACTGAAGAAGGATGAATTCGTTATTGATGCATTTATTTCAGTTAATGGGAGGTTTTTTTCGTAGAAAAACATTTATTTCAACATTTAATCTACAATAAGCTAGGTCAACTTAGTAATTATGGTTAATTTATTGGAAATCATTGGCATGTTCCAGGCATTACCAATGATAGCAATTATGAATATATTAATGAAATAAAACATTTATTTAATCACTTAATTATTGATTTATCGATCACAGAGATACACTTAACTTGTATGCTATAATATAAGATCAGTTATACTTCATGCTATACAAAATAATATTTTTACTTTCCTGGATGTTATATATAATATCCAGGCAATCTGTCAAAAAAATCACCCTCCAAGATTTTTACATTTTTGGACTCGGGAAACGTCCAGAAATGCAAAAAAATTTGGAGTTTTTTTCTGTATGTATGATTTTTATGCATTTTGATGGTCTTTTTTTTTTTTTTTGGTGATAATTTATCTCCCACTGATGTAGTGTTTAGAAATGTTAGCGTGCTTTTTGATGGTGTCTTGGCCTTTCTTTCATGTGCGGAGCATGATTTCATTCACCCTGTTTCAAGCTTAATAACTCCTGTGATTTTTGTCGAAAATTTTTGAAATTTTGCAAATAGGTTTGCTTATTAGAAGGATCGATACTATTAAATTTTGACGATTAAAGGTCGAGGAAGTGGGGAGATAAAGGGAGATCGCGTGTATCTCCAGTAGGGTCGGACTTAATGACGATTGTACTCGTTATTAGCACTTACAATTTTTTTTTTATAAAACTCATCCCTATCATGAAAATTAAGCTTTTTGCTATCATTTTAAAATAATTAAAAATATAAAGGTTTTAAATAAAATATGATAACAGATGGCGCCATCAAATGTTGCCGGGAAAGTTAAGTAACTCATTGCTGAATTTTTTAAATTTATTTTTTCAATAATTCTATATTATAAATTAAATGAAATATAATTACTTCAGTCATTCTGTTTTTCTATTTAAAAATATAATTTTCTTTATCAATTAGCTATAATATAGTGATTAAATTTTGAAAGATTATTTATGTGTATGTGTTTATGAATTCCCTATAACTCCTGCTACTTTTAATTAATTCAGATAAAATTTTGTTTATATTCTTTTTACGTTCCGACGTAAAGTTAAGCTTCTTAATCCACAGTATTCTTGAATTTCTAGAAATCTCTACTCTTCTTAATTCTTCAATCTATTATCTCACAGAAATTAGTCTGTCATGCTTGACGGAGGAATATCTAGTGTATAATATACACCCGTACATATTAAATATTAAAATATTCTTCGTTATATAACAGTATGACGTTTGAAACGATTTTTCTTTATATAATTCTGTAAAAATTTCTATATTTTTTAATCTATTACTTTGCTACTACATATAAAAAGTAATTCGCAAATTAAACCTTATTTTAAATGACTCCTATTTCTCGAATGACCTCTATCAGATGAAAAGAAAGTCGTTTATCATATTTTCTCGTTAATGATCTCGTTATAATACCTGTTCGATGGAAACATTATTCTTACTGTTCCAAAAAAAGAATAAATATTCGATCTGTAAGTTTCTTCTACTGCGAAAAGAAAAATTTATTTTACTCTAATAAATTCTAGATATTCATTCCCTAATATAGAAATAACAAAGAATAGATAAGATAATTTTTTTTTAAAATTATAGTACTTATTGATTGATTTAGTTTATAATGTAACTAAAAGTTTAAAAATTTAAGAACAATTTTAAATTCTTCAACTTTCTTTAATTAATTGTATAAATAAATTCATATATTTTAAAATAGTTATGAAGAATGGGTGTTCTATATAAAAGGTGCCTATTAAGAGGGCGACTAACAATAGAAGCATTTGGAGGATTCGTGACCGTACCAGACTAGTCCAAGGTTAATTAATAACAGTTTTCTGTTTTTACAGCAAATTAACATAGATTGCAATTGTTGCACATTACTTATAACTTAACTTATAACAAATATTATTTAAAGTAGTGGCTCGCAAACTGTGGGCCATCCCCAAAGAGAATGCGTTTTTGCTCTTTTTTTTGGCGTGGAAATGCTCTTGAGGGCGCAGGTTTTTCTTATTTTCAATTAAAATATACACATTTATTTGTTTTTATGTATTTGTTTTCCAAATTCTATTGTTTATTTGCAAAAATAGTAGTATTTTTATGTTAAATTCTTATAGGTGTAGAAACATATTTTGTTTACGTGAGTCGTCAAAATTGAAACAGATCGAAAGGAGGTCACACTAAAACAATTTACGCACCTCTAGTACAAAAGATGGCAATACGGAATCCATGTATTGTGAGTACAGATATTGATATCTCTTATTTACTGTTACCAGAGTTAGCGCGTCTGAAATCATATAACTTAGAAGAATGCACTATAAAAGTTTTAGTTAGGCATTTTTAACCTGTCTTTTCGCCTATCAGCCTCAAAGTGTAGTCGATAATGCGCAGTAATTGTCAGTTATCGTCCAATCCTAACAGTTAAGCATTAAATCTTTAACTGTTATTGGCATTTCTTACTTCAGATATGCGCTGCCAACAGTCAGTACTTCAAAAACAGCGGGAAAACAACACAGTTAGTATTACTGTATTAGCAACAATAATTACAATTGTTTTTGCGTGTCCTTTTAATCTCAGATTCAATAAAACAAGAATTTCTTCTAATTGTACTCTTAGTTACTTACTCCGCTTACATCAGTCGGCCATTGTGATCGATACAGGCGAATTCCACAGTAATTACAATAAGTAATCTACTGTACTTTTAATAGATTTTCTAATAAAATATTTAATGCATAATCTATGAAGGACGATTCTTATTAGAATATTTTAAATTTTATAAATAAATTAAAATTTAATTATAAAATTTCCTCCGCACGCAAACGGAAGCTCCCGGTATTATTGGCTTTCCTAATAATATTTTGAAGCGCGCATTTATACCAGAATAAAATTAGGGAAAGTCGGCATAGTTATTAAAATCGTCACCGTCATATTAATATCGTAGAAACGTCATTATAGATCGCACGAGCGAAATCGTTTCTTAAATATCCTCCTTGCACATATCTATCACCAGATGGCGTTTTCTAATGTTTTGACATTGACATTCAAATTTAAGGAAGGAGTTTGGCGGGAGTATTCTGTTTAGAAATTAAATGGAAGTTCGTTGTAGCCGGAGAGTGGAATGACAGATATGAAGTTTACGGAAGTTTTTAAGGTTTCTCGCCCGTTAGCGAAAATTTCAAAAAATGGACAATTTCTGGTAAGTTTATAATTTTAAATTACATCAATTTTGATTATTTTCAAGTTACTTTCTTATAAATATCAATGAAACACTCCAAAGATGAGTTAATTCAGGTGTATCTTTTAAATAATACACAATATAATAAATAGTACACAATAGAAGTGAGTAATACACAATATGACGTGTGTTTAATTTTAATTAAATGTGTATAATTAATTAAATATATGTTATTAATAAGGTATTCGAAGGTTTGCTGTTTGTTTAATTTCTTATACATAGATAATCAAATATTAGGTATAATCTTAAGAATTTAATAAGTCATGCATTACTTCTGACCTTCATTTATATATAAAAATACATTGGTACAAAATGATCAATCTTTCATAAATGCTAATCAATCATTTATGATGCATGTAAATGCATTCGTTGCCTGTAATATTAAGTTTTCACTGCTATTATAAATTCCCAAAATAAAACTGTATTGAATAAAATTTAAATTTTAAGTTTCTTTTTAATACAGATTTTTTAATAATTAAGAAAATTTGCACAGGAATATTTTAAATTTATTCTAACTTCTAACAGAATATTTTTTTTAAATGTAAATTATTGAATTTTTTAAAAACCTTAAAATTATATCTATTCTCATATCTGATATTTAAAGAATTTATCAATTCTATAAACATTTTAAATTTAAAAATGTTATCTTGGTAATTAATGTATGAATTATTTATAAAACTTTTGAAATTTATACAAAAATTGTCAAATTTATTTCAATTTTTATTTTAGGCTTATGTTATATCAAATCGGTGTGTAGTAAGAAGAGTTAAAACATTGGATGTTGAGCATATATTTGTATGTGTAGACATTATAGAAAAAATAAAAGTAAGTTCATTTTGTCTTATTTAAAACATTTATCAATAATTACCTTTTCAGTTTAACTTTTTAAAACCTAAAATATGAAATATAATTTTTGGGTATAAAATATTGAGTTGTATAATGTATTGACAAAAACACTAACTATAAAAATACATACAATAAATAAACTTGCTCAAATGAAATTCTCAAAAAATTAACTTTATTACTTATAATAAAACATAATTTTAACATAAAAAAATTACATAAAAGTTAATTTTTTTATATGATGATATAATATATTACATTAACAAATTACAGATAAAACTTGTACATGTTACATTATATTAACTTTTAAAATACGTTTTAAATAAGATTTATGGTTTGTAATATTAAAACAAAATTGACCATATTTCTTAAAGGTTATAATAGTTCCTAATATTGATACATTAAACTCTTCCATATGTACACGCACAAAGTATTCCATCGTATATTGTTCCATCCATCATATATGTTCAACTAGTGTAGATTTTGCAATAAATTACTATTTCCTTCAATTGGCAATTTCCCATTGATGGATGTTGATATAAAATGATCATATTCAGTACAAACTATATTTTTTCTCATTTTTCAAAAATAATTTTATGATTTGATTCAATAGAATTTCCTAATATTTCATTCAAATAATATATTTATGTATATGACAATTTAAACTTAAATAAAAATTGAATAAATTTGGAGTTAATAATTAACTTTTTATGACAGTTGTGATATCTTTTAGTAGTTTTTTTAGAATATAAAAATGGTTTTTAAGTTAAAAAATCATATTATTTTTTAAATAATTTTTTTCATGTCTTAATTTATATTTTATATATGCAGCAAAATATTAATATTGAAAATAACCTATGAATAATTTAATTCCTTATTGTTTTTAGTGGTCACCTGATTCATGCTATATACTATGTGGTGTTTTAAAAAGAAATATTGTACAGGTAATTTTTAAAAATTATTAAGTTTGATTATTGTGAAGTTATGCAAATAAGAAAGCATGTATTTAAGTGAACATTTATTACACATAACTATACTGTGTACCCTGTATGTATTACAATACTAAAATTCTGAGTCACCCAAATAACTTTTTAACAAAGATAGGAATCTATGGAAATTTGGTATTGTTATGGTAAAGCCACAATGCATTATCAAATGAGACTGATAGCAGAACTCTTGTGATAAAATTTGGAAGTTAAAATTCCTATGAGAAATACAGAAAAAAGTAAATTAGAAAATTGTAGAGCATCACTGAATAAGTAAGAAATGGTGCAAATAGAAGGTTGGGTAAATGCACATCTATGCTGCTGGGTCATTCTCTTTGAGATGAATTTTAATAATGCCAGTTCTCTTGGCTGTCAAACAGCTCATGTAGAATGAAAGTGATTTATGTTAACATGATATCAATCTTTCATTTGTTAACCTGTTCTTTTAATGTTAGTCAAAATGTTCAATAAATCCAGAATTTCTATTAATTGTAGTTTTATTTAATTAATATTAACATTCTATAAATATCATAAATATGAGTGAGTCCCAAACTGATTATAATAAGAAGATTCTACTGTATTAATAAAGTTGACACTTAAAATTTAAAATGCATGTTTCAACTTCAACTATTTAAAAGCCTGTTCTTATTTAAAATTGAAATGTTGTGTATGTGATTTTAAAATTTATTTTAAATTTTTATATAATTGTAACTTTTAATAAAATCATCTGTTACTATTCTGATTAATAACTTTTAATGTAAATTTTTAAGTTTTGATATTTTATATTAATAATATCAAATGTGTTTTTAAAATATTAGATAAAAACTTGTTATCATTACAAAATTTTGTAGGCTTGGTCTATAGAAGAACCTAGATGGACTTGTAAAATTGATGAAGGATCATTTGGATTAATTGATTTATGCTGGAGTCCGGATGGTCGACATATTTTAACCACAGCATCATATCATGTAAGTTTTATAAATTAACTTTAAGTAAAATTTATTTGGCATTAAAAAGTATACAGACAATGTAATAATCACATAAATATTTTCTACTGTTATTTATCTAACAAACATTTTTTTAGTACAGAAATATATTGTATTTATACTAATAAACAGCTTGCTGTCTATAATTTCTTTCATCTTGAAGATGTGCTGTTTATTAGTGTGTGCTTAATATTAGAGAGCAATTATTATTTTTGTTCTTTGGTAATTAAGTGTAATTACCAAATTTTATTTATTTTTTATTTTTTTGTTATTTTAGAATTATAATTAATGGAGAAAATCTGGGAAATGTTTTTTATTTTATTATTGTTTTAACAACAACACTCAACATATTAACATTTTATTTCGACAAATGCTGAATAATGTGTGCAGTTTTTCAGTTTATAGTAAGCTTTATGTTTCTCCAATAGACATTCTACACTCAGATGAGTAGACCTCACTGAGATATAGCAGCACAGATCATCAAGTCCCCTACCACAACAGGGTGGAGACATGAGGAGGGCCTTGCCAAATTACTTTGTTGTTTTGGATTATTAATCAGACTTAAAAATAGCCTGATAAATCTGGCATATCGTTTGATGATTAATCTATTTAAAAAATTTAAAATATTTTTTAATCATTTTCAAATTTGAATTTTGAGCCAAAAATTAACTAAAAAATGAATTCAGTAGAATGAACTGTTCATATCATAATGTGTTAAATAACTTAGGAAAATTGTTTTTATAATTCTTGTACCGTGTTTCCCCGAAAATAAGACATCCTCTGAAAACAAGACCTAGCAGAGGTTTTGCTGAATTGCCAAATATAAGGCCTCCCCCCAAAAGTAAGACCTAGCAAAGTTTTTTTTTTTACTCGTAATGGTCATCGACAGATGGTTGAAAGTGGCTATTGGCTTTTTGAAAGTACAGCCACTGATTGGTCAGCAGACAATCAAGCCACATGGCATGATTTGCATAAGACTATGGCTTGGAAATCATAGATTTGCATAATGTTACGGCTGGTGATCGCTAATTGGTTGGCTGGGAATCACGCCACATCAAATTTGCATAATGCTACGGTTCAGTAAGCACTAACTGGTTATTGAACCTGATGTTGACGCTATAAAAAGATTAAGTTGAAGTGAGAGTGGGAAGTCCACTCCAGCATGAGAACTTCATAAGTTCACTTTGGTTCGTGACTTCGGTTTTATTTAAGTTCAGTTTGACACGACCGGATATACGTACTCTCGTCTAAGTTTGACTTGGAACTGAAAGTGTGCATTAGGGCTCGAGGCAAGACTGGATACGTCTCGCTGTTTTTCAATTTTTTTGTTCAACAATAAATGTGAATTCTTCTTCATGGAAAAATAAGACATCCCCTGAAAATAAGACCTAGTGCATCTTTGAGAGCAAAAATTAATATAAGACACTGTCTTATTTTCAGGGAAACACAGTATGTGATTTAATTGCAAATTTTATAATTTAGGACGATTTTTATTGATTGTTTTCAGATTTTATTTTTTTACCTATGTTACATTTGGCAAATGAAGTCAGCAATTTTTTCTATTATATAGTAGGGTGATATGAAGGTTCGTAAAAATTTTTGAAATTGCCATTCGGTTCTAATCCAGTGAAATCATTTTTTGAAAACTTAATTTTTTTTTTATTTGAATTTTCTGCCAAAAAATTTTCTAATATATACCACCTTGTGTGCCACATTTCTTCTAATAATGACATATATTTTTTACTTTGTAATTTGCCAAAAAAAATATAAATATTTTGAAAAATTCAAAATCGTATTTTCATGCATAACCAGGGGTTGTACTGCATAGTGCAAAATTACTATATGATAATATTTATAAAAACCCTATTCTGCTTATTTTGTCATTCAATGTGAAAAGTTTGAATTACAAAGCATGCTTCAGGAAAAACAGCAGAATGTTGAGTTCCTATGCAATAGCAGTTCCGTGCACCAGAGACCTAATAATGTCATGATGTGCAGGGCAAGTTTGAGAAAGAAAACAAGAAATGACATAGAACTGAAGGCCGTTTTCATGAAATGCCTCTCAGCATTTCTAAATTGGGGATTTTTTCCACTTTAACTTTTTTTCAGTTGACTAAAGAATTAAAATTCTGACATGACAGAACATGTGAAATACTGTTTAAGCTTTGTGATCAAAAGTGTTATTTGGAATTATTCATTAAAAATTATTCAAAAATGATTCTATTTTTAAGTGACTGCTTAACATGTTATTTTTGTTTTCCAGACTCCAAACTGATAAGTTACTAGAATCTGCATTAATTAGTAAGTAAAACTGATGATGAAAAAAATTTAGAACAGGTGAAATGATTGGCAATTTTAGATTTTTTGGAGTGATCCCTGCATAACCTCAAAATTTGTGAAAAGTTTGATCTAGTATTAGACAGTAATTAATCACACTTACTTTTGAGCCAATTTTCATCCTATTATTTGATTATGACCTATTTACTATGCTTATCCTGCCATAACCTTTCTAATGATATTTTTCTAAATTTTTCTAATGTAAAACTTTTACATAATACACTTTCATAAACTCAAAGAAAAATTTTTGACAGTTCATCTAATTATCAGAAGATGCTAATTTTGCATTCAATTTTAATATTGAAATTAATGCTAACACAAAAAGTTACTATATAATAGTCTGAATTTTATTATTTATGTTCAAAACTATTTTTTTATTTTTTAAGTTTTCTTAGAATCATTCAAAACTTTATGGATGCTCGGGGTATTTTTAGTATACCAAAATATCAAATAATTTGAAGGAATAATATCTAAATTTTAAACTTAAAACCACAATTAAATATTCATGTTTTGAACTATTTTTTTAATATTAGAATACAATATATACTAGTCCTAAAATTTAATAGATATAAGTTATAATTTTGTGTGTAATGAATTTTGATTTTATTAGTGAAATTTTATAGAAGCAAAATTTCAAACTAGAAAGTTGAAATATAGCAAAAATGTTGGAATTTATATATATTAAAACAGGAAAAAAAAACCTTGAAGAAAATAAAATTCAAAATTAACTATTTTTCTGTAAAATTTTTAGTTTAAATCAGATTTAATGAATAGATTGTGATGAAATTTGAAAGATATGTTCTTCAGAACATAATAATGTAAAAATAGAAACTGCGATAATGGAAATTCAAAACTCAGGAAACCTTTATAAGCAGAAAAAACAATTTTTAATTACAAACGTTTTTTTAGTCATTTTTAAAGATCACCCTCTGGTAGAATATAAAAATCAAACTCAGCAAGAAATAGAACATAATAGATAAACTTTGAAACATAGAATGCTGTTTGGTTTAAATTAAAAATTAAAACAAAATAATAATAATACAAATAAAATATGAAGATAAATGAAGAAAAATAAATAACATAAATAAAAATTAAAATATAAATACATAAAAGTCCATAAAGAATATATAGGGGTGATACAATAATTGATGTAAATAAAGGTAAGCAATGCTGGTTATGCCTTATCCAAGTTGGATAAGGCATAACCAGATGTATGGAGAATTGTCATCTCCATACATCTTAGAGATACTCATCTTTATTTACATTGATCCTTTTTTTGCATCACCTTTTATATATTCTTTATGTGTTTATATTGTAATTTTTATTTATGTTGTTTATTTTTCTTCATTTAGCTTCATATTTTATTTGTATTTTTATTCTTTTGTTTTAATTTTTAATTTAAACCAACTGGCATCTATGTTCAAAGTTTAAACTCAGCAAAAAATAGAATATAAACAAATAATTTTTTATTCTAGCAGAGGATGGTCTTTGAAAATGTGTTTTTCTGCTTATAAAGGTTTCTTGAGTGTCTGAGTCTTCAGAACAAATAGTTTTGCAAAAATTAATTCCAATTTTATTTACAACAAAAATTTATATATTGCATTAAATATATGTAAAAATATTTGTATACATATAGTTTTTAAAATAGAATTTAGTCAAGGTGTCCACTTAAACATCTGTCCAATGGAAAAGAGATTTTTCCAGCATTTCACAAGTGTATGCACATGGTGCATTCTAGTTTCATTACTAAAATAACTGATATTTAAATAGCTATCCAAGGACAAAAGATTAATTCATTTAAAAAATGCTATTGGGCAGTGTGGGCTCCACAGATAGACTACACTTCGAATAGTGACCAATATGTGAACATCCTAAATATAATGGTGAACAGCAAGTTTGGTATTAGCATGATGATGTGTCACTTCATTCACAGACAGATATGCATCAGTGATTCAGAGGGTTTGTCAACAGCTGGATAGGACAACATGACTCTGATCCATATCCACCATGTTTCTCAGACTTGACTCCAGATTTTTTTATGTGAGGTCACCTAAAAGCATTGATGTATGATGCACAACATCATGTATTGCTGCATGATGTTGGAGAACTGGATAGACTCATACAAGACGTCTATAAAATAGTGACACCAGCAATGCTATACACCATCCATGATGTCTAGCTCGACCATCAACATCTTTGTACTGCCACTAAAGATGTTTGTTTTGGAACATGTTCTCTAACAAAATAAAGTTCATTTTATTGTATTAATTTCTGCATTGCTGTCTTTATCCTCTACAGTCAAAGATTATTTGTGTATTATGCTAAATCATAAATTGATTCCCTTGAGTTATTTTGCACTGGAATAAGCACACATATGATACATTTATGCAATCTGAAAAGATTTTTTTTGCCCCTAGACAGATGTTTAAGTGTATATAAAAATATATACACTTATATCCTGTATATAAAAATATTCACTTCAATTATTACTTTTCACTAAATCCTATTTAAATGAGTTAGTTTAGTAAATAAACTATAATTTACCAATTACAATTTATAAGTTTTGAATTTAAAAGATTTTTTTAATATGTCATTTTATGTATTTTATGATTATTTTTTGTATATATTGAATTTTCATAATTTTTTTTTTTAATATAACTAACTATGTCTAAAATGTGTCCTCTGGTTTTATTTTGTTTCAGATGAGAATAACTGTATGGTCTCTTGTTTCGAAAACAGTGTCATATTTAAAATACTGTAAAGCAGCTAATCCTGGATTGTCATTTCGGCAAGATGGGAGATTTCTGGCATTAGCAGAAAGACGCGATTGCCGGGACCATATAAGTATAATAGTATGTTCTACCTGGCAGCTTGTTAAGGTAAGTAACTTGAATAACATAATGTGATTGATATATGTATTTTAATTTATTTTAAATATCTTTTTTTCAATCATGAAATTGTGAAATTAAATTTAAAAATTATAAAAATTTATTTATTCAATAGCATTTTGAAACAGATACTAAAGATTTAGCTGGCATTTCTTGGTCACCGGATGGAATGGTCCTTTGTGTTTGGGAAGCTTTGACAGAAGATGTAAATACCACTATTATTAAATATTTTAATAGAAAATTCAATACTATTCAATGCTAACTCAGTTTATTAAAACATTTTAGTATAAAGTTCTAATTTATTCATTGGATGGCTTTTGTTTAATGACATTCAAATCTTATTCCTGGGCTCTTGGTATTAAATCAGTTGCTTGGTCTCATACAGGACAATTTCTTGCCATAGGAAGCTATGATCAAAAAGTAAGTGATATTAATTTTAGATAACCTGAGGTGAAATTAAAATTTATGACACTGTCATTATTGTATACTATTATAGATTTTTTTGTATACAAATGTAGAAAATGATCATGAAAAAAAAAATATTTGAATAAATATTTCAAAACTGAATGAAATTTTGGATTGAACTATTCATCAAAAAGTCAAGTTTTTAAAAGGATGTGAAAATAAAACTTGTTTTTAAACAATTTACTTGAGAGACAATTTTTATTATTTTCAAAATATTCTTTTTATGTAACAAAAGTATTTTTAAGTACATATATTAGAAAGTATGAGAATTATATACATTGGGTTAAAATTTCAAACTAGAAAGTTGAAATATAGCAAAAATGTTGGAATTTATATATATTAAAACAGGAAAAAAAAACCTTGAAGAAAATAAAATTCAAAATTAACTATTTTTCTGTAAAATTTTTAGTTTAAATCAGATTTAATGAATAGATTGTGATGAAATTTGAAAGATATGTTCTTCAGAACATAATAATGTAAAAATAGAAACTGCGATAATGGAAATTCAAAACTCAGGAAACCTTTATAAGCAGAAAAAACAATTTTTAATTACAAACGTTTTTTTAGTCATTTTTAAAGATCACCCTCTGGTAGAATATAAAAATCAAACTCAGCAAGAAATAGAACATNTGAGAATTATATACATTGGGTTAAAATTTCAAACTAGTTAAAGTTTTATCAGATCAACAAAATGTTTTAAATGAATTTTGTTTTAAATTTTGAGAGTAATAATGAATTTATTATTTTTGTCTATTTTCAATTACATTTTTCATTTATACTAGCAAGTTTGACAAAATCACTTGCAACTTTGTAGATGATGATATTACTTTTTTTCCTATTGATAATGATTTTAATATTGTTTAAAAAAATAAGTGGGAGAAAATCATATATTTAATATTAGAACAATATTATAAACTGATTAAGAACATAAGATAAGTTTGTAAGTTTTTCCATATTATACACTGACATATAATCATTTTTATGTTGAGATAATGAAATCAATCAAACTAGGAAATAGAAATGGACTTGCAAATATTGAATAGTTTCCAATTATATGTTTATCCTTCTAGCTTGCAGAGTTTAAGCAAAAGATGTCTGATAAACAAGACAAAAACTTCACACCAGAGTTCTTAAACTTATTTGCCAATATTGGGTTTTCTACAATTAGTAATTACTATTATAATAAAAAGTTCAACAGTTATAATGACAGAGTTTAACAATAATTTACAAAGTCCAGAAATTACTAGTCAACCTAATCAGGAGAAAATAACCTAACAAAAGAAAAACCTTTAATTGACACTTTAATTTACAGTATAACAGTTTTAAGATCTTGCTGCTGATCAGAGGCTGTCTTAACTATTTTCAATAATATCAAAGTTTTATTATCCAATAGCAATGGGGCTGGATATTAAAACTGATATTATTGAAAGTAATTAAGACCAGATCCCAGGATAGCTATATACATACATACATCGTCACCTCTACAAACCATGATGATGTAATGCCCCAATTTTGGAATTATAGTGTTTTGGAAATCATTCACTATTGCTGATGCAATTATCTTCATCAAAGGAATATTGGATGAATAAAACCAGAAACAGTAACAGCATGCTGGAAGAATTTTTGAAGTGATGCTGTACACAATTTCCAAGGCTTCCCTGGAATTGACATAGAAGTAAGAGTTAATTCAAGCAGCAAGACAAATTGGTGGTGAGAGATTTGTCAATATGATAGAGGGAGAAGTGTTGACAAACAAGAAGTTGTTCTAACTCACCAGATTGTCTCAGAGGAAGAAGACTGTGATGAAGACACTGAACTAGAACCAGCAGCATTGAAACTAGAAAAATTTGAAGAGTTTTGAATGACCCAGAATTTGAATGAAAAGATAATAGAATATGATCCTACGATAGAATGCAACATTAAAGTTACCCATTTAATAACAGAAGTTTTAGAACTTCATAATGTTTCATAAAATGAAAAGGCAGAAGCAATAATTTCCCATTACAATGTTTTTTCATAAGAACAAAAATGTCTACTATTGATGATCTCCAGCAGTAAACATTGTCTACTCACATTATCCAGCCATTGTGTATTCTGCCTTCTCCAGCTTCTTCAGACATCAAAAGGTGAATAGTCTAACACAATAATAACTGTAGCTAATCCCACAGTTGATTTCTTTACTTTAGTAATGAGATCATTCTAATAACAATCAAAATATACATTATTTAAATATATTTTTAATAATTATTTTTTATTATATGTTAAGTGTAGATATATGAAACAATGCAAAATACAGTATGTGCCAAAATATATAGTACTGGAATTCACAGATGATAACAAGGTATTATTGTTTTATTTCAGTACTGTATATTTTGGTGCATAGTATACATAACAATACTTAACAGTAGTTGTGCTTTTATTTTCCCTCAATCTATCATGATATATACATGAGTATGGTTTTTGCAGATAGATTGCTGCTATCTATGGTAGACTTTGAAACATATCATCCACAGACATGGTGGTCCCACTGTGTAATCATATTTAAACAAAACTGTGAAGTGTGTAAATTAACAAACATAATTAAATGTAAATGTAAATGATAATTAAATTGGTATTATTTTTTTATAATCTATTAAAAGTATTTTTACTACTAATTTATGATTTGGAGAAATTGTTTATTTTTTAACCAAGAAAAAACTTTTGAATATTATTTCTACAATATAAAAATAAATTTTTCATGAAAATACAGGTATACCTCGCCTTATATCAGTAATTGGTTCCAGGAGAGTCAACGTAAGTCGAAAAATGATATAAGTCGAATTTACGTGTCACTAGGCTAAACCATAAATTACCATTCCCGGTTCTGTATTTTATGTATTAATGTATTTTTAATAGTATATGGTTAATAAGGATCTATTTTAAGCTTACAAATAAATTTTAGTTTGTAATATAGTACAGAAAAAAGTAATCTAACTTTATGAATGCATGTACTGTAAATACAGTACATACTTATAAATGTATATATTTTATTATGATTTTGTGCTTTAAATGCTTTTCTTGTGATATTACGACTTCAATATTTGTGGTGGACAGACGTAAAGTAGAATAAAATGACTTAAACTTGATTTTTATTTTTTCATATACTTTTTTGACAAATGATGTATAATCGGGAACGATGTAACTCAAAACGACGTAAGTCGAGGTATACCTGTATGAATAATTTATCAAAATTTCTTCAAATGAATAACCAAAAAAAATGATAAAACTCAATTATTTTATTTTGAATTGATGAGTAATTAGAAAGTGCATATTATTTATCATTTTGTCTTTTATTAATTTTAGGTTCGTCTTTTAAATAGAATTACATTTAAAGCATGGGCAGAATTTGGTTTTCCTTTTAAAATTACTACAGATATGGTAAGTACCTTTAAAGTATTGCACCATTTTCAATTTATTCAAATTTGAAAGCAGAAATTTTTTATTTATTTATTAGAATTTTTTATTTACAGTATTTTTTTGAGAAAATCTAATTTATAATAGACTAGCTGTACCCAGCCACGCATTGCTGTGGCCCAAAATGTATTTATTATAAATGTATAACACTCCCTGCGGGGGATTTCGAAAAATTCCTTCTTAGTGTACAATCTCTTGACGTATCCTATTAAAACGCAATCAAAAATGCAAAAAACCACATCTAAAATAGAATAATAGAAGACCAGTTCTTCACGGTAAGCCTTAATTTTGTCCCTCTCTCCCTCAGGGGGAATTTCAACATCTATGTAATATAAAAACGTATGTATTTGAATGCAATGTTGTGTCAAAATTTCAAAGCAATCAGTTAAGAACTTTTGGAGATTTAAGATTTTGAACAAATGATCATTTCTGAAAAACTTTAAATAAGAAACTAAATAGAAAATTTCAAACATGTTAAAAATTGCTTTATTAATTTCACACTGATACCTTTAAATGCAGTATACTTTTAATTATACTTTAATGTTTTTGGTTGTTTTAATGACCTTCTTCAAAGAAGAAAAATACATTCTAAATATATAACAATGCCATCAGTGTAGTCCTTATTAACTCAATTTGAAAATTAACATATTAGAATGCAATTTTACAAATTCAAACTTGTATTCCAAATATCTGTTATTCATATAAAAATACAATAACTATCAAAAATTTACAATAAAATAAATACAATAAAAACAATAAAATATGAGAAAAAACAATTACAGATATCCCTCATATAACACATTAATTATGTTCTGGAATAGTGCCATGTTATGCAAATCTGTGCTATATGAAATAAAGAATTAATTCAAAATATGGGATAAGTTTACAAAAGTTTACTATACTTTTTGTTACTATTGTAAGAGAAATATGTTTGGAAATAAATTATTGATTACTTTCATTATCAATAATTAACTAACAATCACAATTAAATACTGTATGATGCATTGATATTGCTTTTAGTTAAATGAGAGCATTTTCTTTTTACAAAGTATTGTCATCTTCTGAGCTATTTTGTTGATCTTGATCAGAAATATCAGCAACATCTTAATTTTTTTAATTTTTATCATAATTTTTTTTATGAATGGCAAAATAAAAATGTTATTAATTGAAAATTTGTTCTAGAGGGTCGCATTTGTTCAGTTGAGTAATGAGCAAATTTCTTTCCAGAATTTGTGTTTAAATACCGAATTGCTCAAGTTGGGAACAGTTTGAGTATTTTATTTGTCATTTTTACAAACATTTACTTATGTATAGTTAAAAAAGTTTAATAACACTTACCTAAAAATGTTTAAATAAACTTTACTAAATATGGAGATTAATCTATAAAAACAAAGCACAGTGATAGTTTCAAGGGCTAAAGTCTGAAAGCAACAAAGACAACAGCTGGTTGATAGGAAAGCTAGGACAACAAAGAAAAAAAATAAATTACACTATCAGTTTTCATTAAAGTAAACCTGACAAAAGGCACAAAATAAATGAAAATTTCAATATTCTAAAATTCATGGGCAAATTTGAGACAACTTGCAATTGAATAAAAAAAATAAAGAATAACAGAGTTTGTTGTTAAAAATTGTGAAATTTTGTATGGAGGATTTTCCAAATTCTTGAATGATGTTAGAGCGAAACTGGAAACCATGTTGTATAGTGGATATCCCCAATTTTTGGTTCGTGTTAGAGCAAAATCATGTTGTAGAAGTGCTGTGTTGTATGAGGGATATCTGTAATTGTAAAAATGTTTGATGATTACTTATTAAAAATATTTTATTATTCTCATGATAAATATTTTTTCATTTTCTCTATTATATTGAGAAAGTATTGATTCTGAACCTTAAAGGTGATGGTGATAAAAATCTTAATAACTATTTTCAGCCAATTCTCAGGTGAATTTTCAAATTAACCGCTCTGCAGTGATCGACGGATATACTCGTCAAGGGCGATCACGTGGCACTGGAGAATGACGTCGATATTCGCAAAAAAATTTTAGCCAAAAATTACCGCGAAAAAAATTCACATAAAAAGGAATTACGTTACAATAAAGAAAGATTTTTTTTTTCTATACTAGACGTAACTGTTTAAAAAATTTTTTTCTGAAACGGAAACAAGAAAAACGGGTGGAAAAATTCTTAAACATTTTCCCACGTTTATTCTCCACTACATCATGATAGCACTATATCTGACTAATCTTCTCTACAAAGGTTAAGTTGTTGGTTGTTTAAGAAAATTAAGTTTTGTTTTGAAAGTATTATGTTTATTATTACCATATAAAGTGTGCAAACTGTAGAAATTTTTAAATAGCTAAGCTGTATAATAAAATTTTTGTAAATTCCAATAAAATTAAATTTCTTTTTCATTGGCTATCTGATTGTATGCCAAGTAATTCTAACCAGGTTGACTTAAATTCATTGCTCAACATCCTGCAAAAAGATTTACAAAGAGTGACTGTGTTTAGAATTTTCAGTTTATCTGTTGTTTGGATTGGAGTTCTTCAAACTTCATGCAAGCCTGTATGATGCAGTCAAAGACATGCCCAGTTTGAGTTTGAGAAAGGCCACGTCATTAGGCTGATGGAATCAAGCATTTTGCTGAATTGCACACTATCCATTCCTGAGCCATTCTAATCTGATTGTGAGGAGGTGTTGGGAGCAGGTGAATAAGTGAGGGGGCACATACATGGCAGGCAGGCTCTGGACACTCCAGACAGACTCATTATCTTATGAGACAAGCAAAAACAGCCTCAATGACATCTTTGTCCACCATCAGAGACATGGAAACTTTGTTACAGAACCCTCTTCTCATATTGTTGGTAGACAATTAGCAAAAGCAAATTTCAGTAGCAGTCACCATGCATGCAAATTTGCATTTGCATGCAAGGTGACTGCTACATGTCCTGCCGTTAGCACCACAACATCATAAGCTTTCTTTTGCAGTGGTGCTGTGAACAGATGATGACTGTATTAATTAATAACAACAACCAATCCAATACATTTAAGTTTTTAATTGAACTGTCAAATTGTTATTGGGCTTTTATAAGGCTAGTAAATCAATTTGGACAGAGGATGGCATTTAGGTTGTCATCTCATGATAAATAACCTATATGGTTATATCTAAAATTAATTAATTAATAACTTTAGAAACAAAGGTCTAGAACTGTTAATTAATAGTCTACATAGCATAATTGGCAATGCAACTGCATGGCAATTACAATTTTATGACAAATCACTGAAGCACATTTTGTGAAGTAATGTTTTGATCAATTTGAACAAAATTTTGCACATTAACCAGTGAGGAATGGATATATCCGTCCACGGTGNTGAAATTTCACTGATTAAAAAAAAAATTAAATTTGAATTGAATTTAACAAAAACTAAATTCAACCAGTTTTACATCTTTATATAGATTTTTATAATGGTAGAAATAGTATTAAAGAATTGTTATAGCCGAATATAGACTTTTCAAATAGAATTTATAAGAAACAATAATTTTTTAAAATTGTTACTTTATGAAATTCTTCTTATTTATTTGTATTATAATGTAAACAATTTACATATATAATTTTTACTTGTAACATTTTTAACCTTAACTTATATGCAGAATATACTTAACTTAATGCAGAATAGTTAGATTCATATAATATATGAATCTAACTATTGCAGTCATATAAGATTTACCTGTATACTGTTACCTGTTTAAGTACTATCATTTCATTAAACTGGATATTTTAGGAAATATCACTTAGACCCCTTGTGCTCTATATTACTCATATTTGTTAGACATTTAAATTATGTTTGATTAGTTACTAAATAAAGCATAGTCAGTCAGAAAATATCATAATGTATTAAGGCAATGGTTGTTGAATGAATTTTTAATAAAACATTTTTATTTTATATATTTTCTTAGGTTGTCTACAAAGAAAGACCTTTAATATCGGATCCAAATACAGATTCAATTTTTGAAGGCCGTAGCAAATGTGAGAAATTTGATTAATAGTAATTTTGAATTATTAATTTATTTTTAAATAAGCAGAAAATTATTTTATTTATAGTCGAATAATTTATATTTATTTTCAGATGAAATAATTACAGAACGTCCAGTTAATGTATCACTGAAACCTCTTGATTGCAGCAAACCTGATAGACATGGAGTGGGCACAATAAAATTCAGTTCAGATTGCCATTATTTAGCAATGATTAATGGTTAGTTTGTTAATAAAATATGCTATTTAATTTCTAAAAAGACTGTCCCGCATAGTTACATAAAGCAATACTTAATAGATTATTAACTTTATAATCTGGATCTTCCAAAGTGAATTTTACCATTTTATATTACTATAATATCTGAAAAGTATGGGATGTACAGTACTCCTTTGATAAAGTAACTGTCCAAGTTTCATCTCCTACCTGCATTTAAATGTCTTGCTTTCTATTACTTTGAGGAAGTGCCATAGATGAAAATGGTTATTCCACAATAGAGAAGGCATTTTATGTTCTGTAGTTTGCAAAGTTGGAATCATTTATTGTTGCGGAAACATGAGTAATCTGCAGGAGCAGTAGGATACAGCTGTGGAGCTACAGGAACTATAGAATTCTGGCTGTTCTTGAAGGAGTGGCAATGGATATGCTGTACTAAGTGTAGGAAGAATTTGAGTATCAGTTGGATGCATGCTGTGTGACATGAAGTGCACACATTGAGAAATTGTAATGGGCAAATGTGAAACTTGGACAGTTTATCAATGTTTTAATATACATTACAACATTCTCAGATTTTAACTAGCATAATTTAAAATGGTAGCATTCTCTTTGGAAGACCTTGTATAATATGCTAACAGTGTATGATATATGAGATCGCTTTTTCATGTGGCAGTGGTGAGGGATGGATTTATCTGTTAAATTCTTTCGGGGGTATCGCCAAAAACTATCGCCAAAAAAAAATTCACGTAAAAAATGAATTATGTAACAATAAAAAAAGACTTTTCTTTACTAGACATAACTGTTTACAAAATCTTTTTCCGAAATGGTAATGAGAAAAAATGTGTGGAAAAATACTTTAAAAATTTCTCATGTTTATTCTCCAATACTTTGGTGTAGCACCTTACCTGACTATCCCACTGCTGAAAGGTTAAAAGAAATAATAAAATGGTATGTCATGACAGAGGCTGAATTTTAAAATTTGACATAGAATGGGAGATTTCAGGGATGAAAGGTTATCCCATGCTAAGTCAATGGGAAAATTTTGCATTATAAACAAAAGAGCATGCACTACCTGACATTCGAAATATGGCAAAACTCTTGCCAAATATTTTTTTGAATATTGATTTTATCTCTCCATTTTTCTAACAAAAATTAACTCTATATACTTTAGCATATCATACCTTGCACAACGTTTGTTATGTAAATTAAGAAAGTTTTAGAACAAAGATAAGAATTTGCTGACTGTGCAGTGTGACAAGTGGCTTTAATTTAGTGCCTCTAGTCATCTAATGTGAGTTTGCAAGCCGTTGCTGCGCTTCAGTTTGACAAAGTTCTAGTTTTATGATCTATAACTTAAAGATAATTTGGCTATGGTTTTAATAATTTTAATTAATTATTTTAAATGTTTTTATTCAATATATTTATTATTCTTGAGTACATTTTATCATTTTATATTTCATTTTATTACTTATTATTACAATTAAAATAATAAATAGTAAAATTAGGACTTAAATTCTTCAAAGAATAAATATTTTATTATTTAACAATAAGTGATAAAACCAATGTAAATACACAGTTTCTGTANGAGTAACAATTATAATTCAAGATTTCTAAAATATCAAAAACATTTGCTATTTTTGTACTTAGCAAAATATTATCAATAGAATGAGACTTCATATTCAAAGGCAGTATTTTCAATTCTTTTTTACATTATTGTTTATCTTAGATTATGATAAACAATAGATTTTATTTTAAAAGTTTTTAATATACTCTAATGAAAATTATTGTTAATAAAAAATAAATATTAAATGAATACAGAAATTTGAAATGAAAAAATGTTTTTTTTTAAAATATATAGTCAGTTGTAAGTTTATAAAATTGTTTTTAAGTAGTAGGTTTTAGATACAGTAAGAACACCATGATAATTTGTAAGATTAAAAATAACGCAGTATGACTAGTATTTATCCAGGTGTGAAAGAGATCTCTCTAGTATTATATCAGGCTGTAAAGATAAAATTTAGACATTTTGATTTTTTTAAAAAAATGACTGGGGAAAATTTTCTAGAACATTGGATGTTGGTATATCAGTAAAATAACCAGGGAGAATTTCATCACATTTCACTGAAAATAGATGCATCAGCAATGTCTGACAAAATGCAACTTTTGAAAGAACACATTTATGGACTGTTGTCACTAAAAGTGACCACACTGCAACGAAGACTCATGATCTCATTTGCAAGACCTTTTGGCCAGGATGCAGTTTACAGGCAGACCTGCTACAATTGGTTCAAGAAATTCAAGTATGAAGATTTCTCACTTCAAGATGAACACCATCCAGATAATGATTCAGCCATTGATGACTGTTCTCCTGCAACTAATAGATAATAATCCACGTTTGAATTAGCACAACTTGAGTGTTTCATACACTCCAAAAATTGACAAAATCCGATAGCACCATACGAGAACATAGCACAGACAACGCACCAGAACATAGGGCAAAGATGACTCAGAGAAGCTGGGCCAGTTCAGACTGGTAGGTTCTGCTTCGTCCACTTTATGGTCCAGACTTGACGCTAGCTGACTACCATCTCTATACCTGCAGAACCATACTAGCAGTATACAGTTCAATAACAATATCCAATACTCGAGACTGAACATTCAAACAAAAATCCTAATCCTTCCATGCTCACAGGATTGAAAGTTTGCAACAAAGATGATGGATGTGATTGATATTGATTGTGATTATCTACAAGATTGAACTGAACCGTTGTTGAGTTAATTGTCAATAAAGTTTTTTTCAAAATGTCTAAATCTCACTTTTACAAACTGATATGACCGCTCGAACACCAGACTCATCCCTTCTGGAGAACCCAGGATGGCAGCAACGAAGTTGCAACTTGCTTTTGAAGCCAAAGATTATGGCAGGTGGGACGATGGCCCCATCTCTACCTACACCACTCCAAAAAATACAGAAAATTGTAGATAAACCTTTATTTACCTTGCAGAGAAATCCACTCCGGAAATCAGTCCATAATCCTAAATAATTTCTAGTGGGGGATAAATAGATAAGTGGGAGATTAGTGGGGGATAGATAGATAAGTGGGAGATTAAATAAACAAAGTAAAATGTAACTTTAAAATGTTTGTTTATGATGCATTCTCCACTTAACAATAAAATTATCAGTTAAAATTTTAGAGAATAACCGGTGTTTACAATAATGTACAGTACATTTTATTGAGCAAACCTATTCTTGATTGAAAATTATCATTTTGTACTAGTACAAAATTTAATAAAGACAAATATTTCATAAAAGAGCTTCTTGTCTCAAAGATTGTTAAAAATAATATCTCAAATACAATAGTAGAGAGATTATTTTCAACAAATATTTCAGCTTGAAAATATTAAGAATTTGCACGAAATATTTGAAAAATATTAATATCTGTACCTAAGTACAAAATAATTACATCAGTATTTTTATTTATTATTTTAATGCTGATTAAATGCTTCAAGATGTGGGACTGTTTGGAAATTTTTCCACAAGTTTTATCATTTATGCATTCATATTTCTCTTTCAATCGCTTTGGGTGAGCTTCTCGTTGAATTTCTCCTCTCAATATTTTCTGCATAGATCAAAGTGCTCCTTGCTCAATTTTCTTTTCTTTTTTTGAAAATAATCTTTTGTATCGTTAGAAAAATCATCTTCCTTTTCTCTCTCTTGATGATTACATAAACACAGTTTCTTCTCTTTAGTTTCACCGCACGATTTTAGTTTCGGAAGATGAGGATCAGTATTACAGCACGTCTCAAGATCATTATCTTCCAAGTTAGAACAATATTTGTTTTGAAAAATACACCTCGACTTCGGATTGCCAGTCGAAAAATCGATGCTTTAATTCTCGATCTGTTGGCTTACATGCATTATATTGAATTTAATCTTTGTAGCTTTGTCTCCAGTCTTCCCGTGAAATCGGATGATGAGGCGACTTTTCCGACATTGTTAATTTCAGCAGATGACTTCCATCTGCAGAATGGCACGTCGCTATCTTAATTTTGATATTATGCCAATACGTAAGATCGAATGTCATTGTTAAGTATAACAATCAATGGTAAAATTGTGCCTGACACTTAAATATTATCAATCATAACTAAAATTAATATTTTTAACATAGCCATCTTTACACTGAGGAGTGCCCACTAGTAGCCCAGTGGACCAAATCATTGAACACTGGTCGTGGATTCGCTCTTCACCAACGATCTGGCCACGTGTTTTCCTGGCTTCTTTCACAATGTCTAAACACACTAAATGGGGCCAATTTTTTCATAGAAAGTGCTCCCGGGTGGCATTTCCTCCTTGGTAAGTCGCTCAGGTGTTGAGTTGCCGTATCCCAAACAACTCTCAGTGGTATATTATAGCTTCGTGATACTTAGGCGAATTTGAATTAGGGAGCCCATATACAGTGTTAATAGACATTTTTCTTCGAGGGAATGTTTTAGGAGAAATGTTATGAAAGATTAGTTTGGGGCCCCAAACAATTTTCCTTTTTGCTCATAGGATAATGCGCCACTGATAATCTTTTATAATGAGGAAAGGTATCACATTTTTATACAGTCAAAGTTGATCTTTAATTTTAATTCTATGTAACTTAAGTGATTATTGTTTTATAATTTATTAACTGTTACAAAATACGAATTATTATAACTAGATATTAAAGAAATCATCGTATCACATGAATTCTAATTTACAAATGTAGATATTTAAATAAAATTTAAATTTTATGCATTTAATTTTATCTTATAATATTATAAATTCTGTAACTTCTAGTATATTTGTAAATTAATTACATTAGAGATAGAAAATCCACGACACGCAAAATGAATTTACCAGATAACGGGTTGATTCATCGCCAAATTTCTCATACAAGTTTAATTTAAAATTGAAAAATATCTGAAAATAAATTAATAAACTCCCTAAACTTTGTAACATAAAATCACTTTCTAGATTAATAACTTATCACAAATAAAAAAAAAATCTCAAGTATAAAAAAACACGTTCTCAATTTATAAAT